TGGCTGGAGAATTCTGGGAGTTGAAGTCCATACATCTGAAAGTTACTAAGGTTGAGAAACATTGCCTTAGAAGGTGATCCGATGTTATTTGACATAAGCAGACAACTCAATCATATCACACTTCTCAGGTTTTGCTGCTTCTGCCTCAGCACAGTCATATGATATGAGAAGAGTCGAAATAACTCCGATGGAGCAAAGAAAACTCACCTTTGACACCCATCGTCTTGTGCGAGATCTAGAGGCCCATGGTGAGCAAAAGTCTCCAGTGAAAAGTGTCTAAGAGAGCTTTCCTCCATGCAGATTCCACCTGTGGACATCTTTAAGCTATTGGTGGGGTCCTTCAGTGGTCGGCACCGGCCCTCCAAAATACCCTTCCTTCTTATTGCTTAAGAAGGAATTTCACTACTGTATAGCTTTCTCATCAGTATCATGGACTTGGTTTCCTGTTGTCTTCTTCTGGAATGTTTCTCAACTTTCCTGTCTAACCTATCACCCTGGGATTCCTTGGTTGTTTCCCATCCAAGTACTAACCAGTCCTGACTCTGCTTAGCTTCCAAGCCCAAACAAGGTTGCTGAGGTACTGCCAGCCACTCCCTTACATCCCTAAATATGATGTTGATAACAAATAGCATAAAACTCTGCATTATTAGAAAGATAAGAAAAAAAATGAGCTCTGCTTCTCAGTTGATTAACCCTGCCTGTGAATTCACCAGAATTGTATGTACTTTGTGTACTCAACAGGATTTGCAAAAGAACAGGCTGAAACTGTTGTCTCAGCGTTAATGAGTTTGTCAACAGTCAGTCTGGACACTGTCTACAAAGATATGGTAACCCAAGCCCAACAGGTAACACATGATTTGTTCTTGGACGTATCACTTTTTATGGGCGTTAATAATTTTGACATAATCTTCCAACGGTCTTCAAAATTCTTTAGGCAATGCATAGCTTAAACGTGGACTGGTTGTCCCAGCTTGAAACCAGTTGCATGAAACACATTGTGGGGATTTTTTGAACTTTTAGATTTTCTGCCTTTTTTCCAGGAATTTAGGGTTGCTAATAGGGAGATCTCCTTTTCTATAAAAAATATCTGAGTTTTGGAGTCACAGGGCATTTAGTTGAGCCTTCTTCCTAGTGCAACATCTGTATCCCAGAACATCTCTTAGAGATTATTGTCTAACTTTCAAGACCTATTCAGGATCTTACCAGCTCTCCTTGTGAAGTCAGCACTTACCCTCAAGGAGTTGCCTTATTTGTTAGTTCAGTTGCTTTGACCACTAAAAAGTTTCTCCTAACGTTTGACCAAAATCTACTGCCATCTCATTTAAGCCCGTTAGATCTGTTCCCACCTGTTTGTCAAAGTCCATTCTTAAAAAAGAAACCCCAGAGAGTTTCTTCTTTTTACAGACAGGCAAGTATGAATAAGCCAAGGAGATTTTCACACAGTGCAGAGTTAAATCATGGTAGTGAGTTGGAAGAACGATAGCCACTTTGGTTGGCTTGAAAAGGGAACTGGACAGGTTCATGGAAGAGCAACCCATGGATGATTACTAATACAGTGGAACCTCGGGTTACGAACGCTTCTGTTCACGAACGTTTTGGGTGACGACCAGCTCTGGCCGCAAAATTTTGCTTCGGTTCACGAACTCCGCCTCGGGTTACGAACAGGATCCGCGGCCATTTTCCCTCCCGTGACACGGTCCGCGGGCATTTTCCCACCCATGACACATGGTCCACGGCCATTTTCCGCCCCTGACACGTGGTCCGCGGCCATTTTTCTGCCCCTGACACGTGG